GAGAGAGAGAGAGAGAGAGAGAGAGAGAGTAGAGTGTGTGTGTGTGTGTGTGTGTGAGACGAAGTGGGAATGTTCTCAATGTTTTCTCTGAATACTGTGTGGGTGCCTCAGTTTCCCCTATGCATTTCTTAAGTATCTTGGTGGTGGGATAAGGGTGTGTGATTGTTGCAGAGCCTTAGAGGGCCAGTGTGATGCTGTCTGCATAGAGAATGGCCAACACCCTGTCTCCTGGCAACTGATGGCCTGGGCCCCTCCCCTGCAAGGGGCCAACTGAAGGTGTTGGAGAACAAAGGGATCAGGGGGGCTCCTGGCCCGGGAAAGAGACAAAGGCAGAGGAGGGGCTGGAGAGTTTCAGTTTGGAGCTGGCTGGGGAAATGAAGGGGGCCCAGACGGTGCTCTGGCCTCCCAAGATGGACCTGTCTGAGGGTCCTGGTTTCTGTACCTACAAGCTTTGTTTGGACCGTGTTCCTGTCGTCTAATAACCCTTCTGTGTTACCGTCTGGCTGAGAGTTGCGTCTGGCTGCGGAGTTGGGGGGCAGGGCCCTCTGGCTGCCCCAGGACCCCGCTGGTGCAGACTCGCTGCGGGAAGCGCACGGGGGGACGGGGATGCTGAATGCTCCAAGGTCAGACCCAGGAAGTCAAAGCTGTGGAAGCGTCTTGCCCTGGAGCCAGTCTGCTCCAGGAGAGGAGGCTCCCCAGAGTCCTGACTGGCTTCGTAGGGAGCAGTTCCCGAGCGTCCCCCGGGGACTCTGACGGGGGGTAATTACCTGCTCGTTAGCTGGGGCCCGAACCCCGACCTTCCGCAGCAGCTTCTGGAACCCCTGGTTCTCCATGGCGTCCTCATTCTCCTCCAAGAGCGGCACCAAGGGCACGGGCTGGGCGGTGCCTGGGGACAGGGGGCACCGTGAGGATGAACCTGCCCCGCGCATGGGGGAGAGAGGGGGGTCGGGGCTACAGCCGGGGGATCCTTCGAAACTGGGAAATGCCAGGTGGGGGTGCTAGTGCCGGGGGACTCATGTGGGCGCCGCGTAGGGGAGAGATGCACATGGATCCCCTCCCGATGCCCCGGGCTGACCCCAAGGAGCATCTCACCCCAGCCGGTATTGGGGTGCCCCCATTTGCCCCAGGAGGGAACAGATCCCATTCACGAGCCGTCTCCCCGGGACCTTCCCTGCGGCACTGCCGATGTCGGGAGCCCGGGGAGAAGCCGCCAGCATCTCCTGAGCGCGGCAGGGCCATGCCCGGCGCCAGCCAACCTCCCAGCACCGATCCTGCCCCCCCGGGTACTAACCATCTTCCTCCCGGTCCTCGGCCGCTCGGTTCAGGCAGTTCTGAAGCCACAGCAAGGAGCCAGCCAGGCCTGCGGGCACAAGGGAGGGCAGAGGTGAGAGATGGCCCCAGGAACACTCCGAGCTGGAGACTCACAAGCCAGGGATCCCAGCGGGCAGCGGGGCCAGGTCGGCCTTGGCCCAGAGCTCACGGGGCAGATGCAGCTGGGCTGAACGCGGATGGGGCCCCTTTAAGGAGCCGTGGGGCTGGGGGGGGGCAGTGCGGGCACAGGCCTTAACCTGTGTGTGTCTGGGCCAAGGAGCAGAGGCAGCCGGCATTCGCTGCCCCTCATCTCACCCCCAACAGAGGCCCGCGTGCCCCACCCAACCGCTCCCCAGGCCAGTAGGAGGCGCTCACGGGTGCGCCGCCGCCACTGGGGGAGCCAGCGTGCTCCTCACCTCCCTGCCTCAGGTGGCGCGCCAGGCCCTGCACGTCCTGCTCCGGCGCCAGCTGGTTCTTGCTGCCCTGCTCCTGGCGCTCCTCTGCGCCCCCTTCCTCCCAGGCCTCCTCCTCCTCCTCCTCCTCGCTGTCGCTCTCCTCCTCTTCCCCCTCTGCAGAGTCCTCCCGGCCAGCCGCACCCCACGGGGATCTGTCCTCGCTCTGGAAGGGATGGGAGCGACAGTAAAGTCATAGGCCAAGGGCGGGGGGGTCCTGCCCAGGCTCCATTGGGGGGAAAAGGGGGGAGCTGGGTAAGAGAGGGTGCCCAGCCCAGACTCATAACTGCATCTGATCATAAAGGAGTAGGGTCCAGTGGGTTCGAGCCGGGGGAGGGGGGCCGCACTGGGAGCTAGGACTCCTGGGTTCTATCCCCAGCTCTGCCACGGACTCAACATGTGAGTCATGCCCCCCCCCCCATGCCTCGGTTTCCCCATGCGTACAATTCGGGACAGGGCATGGCTGGGGGTGGATCAGGGTCTATAAAGTGCTTGGGGACCCTCCAGAGAAGCCGGCGAAGGCAACCGCACCCATTTGGGAAGGGATCCCCAGGGCGGGGGGGGCACTTTCAGAGCCCCCCCCCACTGGGCCTCAGCCCCACGGAAACACATCCCACACAAACGGGAGGGGGGGAATTACCCTCTGACCACCCCTCCCAGCAGGGGCAATGGGGGTGTGCCCCCGACAGCAGGGGAGACACCCCCCCCCCCACCCACACACACACAGTGCCATACCATGCCAGGCAGGCCGGGCTTCCTCTTGCGTTTCTTGTACAGCTCCTTGCGCTCTGCCCCCAGCCCCAGGCTCAGCAGCTTCTCCACGACGCGGGCTTTGGAGCGCTTGGCCGTGAGGTGCTTCATGATGTTACCCAGGATATCTGCCGGGGGGGGGGCG